GGGGCCGCCGCAGTCACGCCGCGCGAAATGCCCGCTGGGTGTCACCCACTGTGCCAGGAGCGGAGATACGGCGCGGACGGGACAGGCGAGGTTCGGGCCCTGGGGAACTGATAGGTGTCCCGAAGTTGAGTGCTGGATGGGGCGCTGTGAAGGCATCTTTGCTCCTTCACCTCCTTTTAGTCTTAGCTCGAATGTCCCCTGCGTTCACCCTAGGGTGAGGCCTTCGCCGTCCCCTCTATTTAAAGTCACATCCTCTCTTTAGGCTACTTCAGCTTTACACCTCACTTTAGCTCCTACTATCTTATATTCTAAATCATTTTCTTATTCATTGGCTTATGGTCTCTCCCCCTAGTAGAAACTCTTCAGGGCAGGGTTTATTGTCATCTTTTATCCCTGGCTACGCCCCCACTACTGGCGCACAGTAGGCGTTCAGTAAATATTTGTGGAATGAATGAATTTAACCATCACGGGTCAATCTATCAATTGGCAAACTTATCTCATGCTACAGTATTGAAGAGCCTTGAAAACATTATTGTAAGTGAAAGAAGCCAGGTATAAAAGGACACGTATTGATTGTATGCTTCTATATATATATATATGGACATTTCTGTCCAGAACAGGCAAATCCAGTAGATGAGTGGTTGCCAAGGGCTGGGATAAGGGGGAAAACGGGTGTGTGTGTGGCTGTTAAAGGATAAGAAATTTCTTTTTGGGGAGATGAAAATGTTCTGAATGAAGTTAGATAGTATGGATCCCAGGACTCAGTAAATATACTGAAAGCCATTAAATTCTACAATTTAAAAGGGTGAATGTTATGGTATGTGGGCATATCGACACGGGGTAAGTGCCATGGCTTTCTTCCAAGTGTGAGCTTTGCCTCTGAGCCTCAGCGTTCTCATCTGTGAATGGAATCAATAAGACAGAGCCAGCGTGCCCTGATCTCCCTGGCCTTCCCATTCCTAGTTCAGTCCACTGTCCATTCACATCTTGCATCTCTCTGAAAAGTGCTGCATTTATGGAACTTTTAATTCAAGGGAGCGAGGGTAAAACCAGCCCTAGAACCACCTAGGGAATCCTTTAAATGATGTTGTCACTACCTGCCTGGGTTACTCTCCCCCATCTCTCTCCTCTTTTCCGTGGCACAAATACAGGTTCACCCTTCAGTACTTTACTCAGGCATCGTCTGTACTCTGAAGCCTTACTTGCCCATCTTCGACCCTTCCTTGACCCCTCTCCACCCCAAACAAAGCTAAACTCCACGTCTTGCTCTACATCTGTATCTTGACACTCGGATCTCTAGTATTATATCAATTCATACACTTTTTTATTCGTTAGTTCATTCAACAGACTTTTAGGGAATTCCTGCCATGTGCCAGGTACCGTGGTAGGTGCCAGGGATAAAAAGAAGACACTTTCAGGGATCTTAGGAGAGAGGCGAATGAGCAATTACTGTAAGTGAGCAATTACTGTATCATGATCAGTCCTGTGTTAGGGTTATATTCAGAGTGCTGTGGGTGGGACGTGTTCTTTTTAATAGCTATAGTTAAAGATTCTCTCTCTAGCCAGCTAGCTAGGGATATGGATAAAGACAGATAGATGGATGTAAATGTCAGTATATCTATATTTATCTATCTAGATTTAGCTATAGATATTTTAAGAGCCTATAACTTGGCATTAAAGCCTCCCAGGGGTTGGACTTTTTATGAATGAGAAGATGCACAACCTGAGAGGGAGGCCTGTTATAAGGGCCTGAGACAAGCTCAGAAATCCCCGACCTAAAAAACGTGTAGATTTAACTAACCTGACTTCATGCCGTTTTCCCCACGCCACTTAGTGACCCATCCTTTCACTTTTTTTCTTTAATTAACATTTTTCTCTCAAATTATAAAGTAATTCATGCTTGACTTGGGAAATACGGAAAAGTCCAAAAGGAAAAATAAACCACTCACTTCTGTACCATTTAAAAATAATATTGTCAATATTGTTTTCTCTTCATGTTTTCCCTTATATAATTTCTTTACAGTAATAGCAATACTTAGATACAGCTTACTAGGTGCTAGATGGCTCTACGATCCCTACATATATTAACTTGTTTAACCTCCTCGACCCTTTGAAGCAGGTAGTATTACTTTCCCTGTTTACAGATGGGGGAACTGAGGTCCAGAGAAATTAAATCACTTGTCTGAGGTCACGGAGCTTGTAAGGAGCAGTCCTGGCCTTTGAACCGAGGTCATTGGCTTCACAGTCTACAGGCCTAAGCTTGCCCTCTGCACCGTTATGCCTCTGCGAAATGATAAAAGGGGTGCACGCGCCGTGCAGAGAACTTGGAAAACACAGACCCATACAAAAGAGAAGAAATCACCCACCCGAGGAAAACAGCCATCAGTATTTAAGTGTAAATTGGTCCACTGTTTTCTCTGTGCATATATGCTCCACTCATCTATGATGATGAGGTCATGCAATACAGGCCTTTTGGTAACTGCCCTTTACCCCCTTTTGCAAATATTATGAATTTTTCTAAAGTCAATAAGTTCTCTTCTACATATTAATGGCTCATCTGATCCCTGGATTTGGGTCATGAATTCACCCACCCTCATTGTTGGGCATCCGGCTGGTTTCATATTATAAATAACACCAGGTGAATATTCTTACACACATGCCTTTGCACTCATGTCTGATGGTTGAAGTAGAGTTGCTGGGTCAGAGGAATGCATATTTGTAAGGCTCTGTACTAGTAGGTGCCTCCTGACAGTGGCTTAGCACCCTGTCCCTTCTGAGATTCAGGCACCATCGATGGATCCAGGGCCAGCTACAAAATTTGCAGGGTCTAGTAAGAAATGCAGATGGAGGGCTCCTTGTTCATAAAGCAGGAAAAAAGCTTTTTTTCTTTCTTCTGCAGTCTCTCTCAGCCTGTCGTGGTGCTTTTTATTTGCTATTTCATGCCGTGCTCCCATGGGACACATGCAGACCCTCACAGACACTTAGGGCCCCACCCTCTGTTGTGTCGAGCAGGCCCAGAGGCCCAGCTCCCAGCCTTCCTGCACCTGTGTTCAGGTCCCCTCTAGGCGACAGTGTCACTGGACAGGGATGAGGGTGCAAGTGGCCAGTAGCCATCCTGGGGACACAGGGGGTGAGGAGAGGTGGGAACCCCGTAGGAACCCATGCTCCAAGCCCCCAGCACATGCTCTATTGTCCCATTCACCTACACAACACAAATACAAAAGATAGAATCATTAAGAATTTCAAATCAACAGTCGCAGAGCATTAAACTCTAGGTGTGGGGTCTTTCTGAGTGTGTGGCCCTGTGCAACTGCCGGCCCTAGATGAGCAATTGGAACTGTACCAAATTTCCATTCTCAATACCTCAGTTCAAAAATGAATATCACACCCTTGTAAAGAAGCATGTCATCTGGACACACAGAAACACAGAATGGCCAAAAAGAGAGGGAGAGGGGTCCTAGGCAAGCGAGGCCTAGGTTAATCTTGGGTAATGCACAGGCCCTATGCAAACTCTCTCTCAGTCACCTGTGGAATCTTCACCATAATGTTATGGGTCCATGCTATTGTTATCCCCATTTTACAGATGAGGAAACTGAGATTTTCAATGATTGGATTGTGTATCAAATATCACGCAGCTTGTAAGTGCAGTAATCAATATGAGGAACCCAGGCCATTATATGCCCAAACAGGTAACCAGTTAACCAGTATGCTGGAAGGTTCACTAGAAGGGCCGCATGCTGCTTTTCTTTCAGACCACCAAGTTGGCTCTGACCTGGTGTCCAGGAGGTGGCAGCTGGTACTAAGGGGAGGCAGGCAGAGGTGTCAGCGAACTGCCAGCTAGGCTTCCCATGACCAGCAGGGCCTGGCAGGGTCAGGACCATAACTGCTACTTGCAGCTGCACCCTTCCTTCTCCCTCCAGGGTGTTTCTTGGATCCTGAGTCTTCAGGGGAGAAAGGAGAGAGGAGGAGGTGGGGACTGTTCTCTAAACACTCTGTTCTCACCAAACGTTGTCCTTGGCCCAGCTTCCCTCTCAAAGGCTGAGTAATCTCAAAAAATCGCAGCCTGACAAAAACCGAGCAGGCCTAGGGGTCAACCCGTATCACGTCCGCAAGTGGAATTCTTGGCCTGCTCACTCTTTGTAGGTTCGTAACTGTTTAGAGCAGGGGACAAGAAGCAAAAATGCCTCAGGAGTATCAGACAAGCCAATGGGCAGAGCCACAGTGTGAACTGGACCCAGTCCTTGGGTTCCTAATCTTAGGTGAAAGAAAAAACACCTCCCTCAGTTGGCATTTGCTGCTTCCTCCTTCCTTCTTCTCTCCAATATTATTCTCCCCAGCTCCCCCTGGATTTGAGCCCTTGGCCTGCTACTCCCCAACTGTGTGAACCGGATCAGCTACTTAGCTTCATCAT